CAAGGTGAAAAAGGGAGAAAAAACAGCCAGTGACCGTATAAGAGGAGGCAGCCGCTGTCAATCTGGCTGCTGAAGCCAGCCTATCACCGTTGACCTCAGCAGAGGGGATCAAGAAACGGTCCGCCCATCCAGTCAGCTGCTCATCAATGATTTAACTCGCTTTAACCAAATGCCTACATGAACGAAGCACAGAGCTAAATTCTTTCCTTGTCCACCGGCGTAGTGGAACAGATCCTTCGCCTGGCTCAGGATCCAGTTTCCATTTATGTAATCCCGAAGTAATCGACAGCATCTCCACAGCCGTGGATCAAAAGGCCCGAAGCTCATTAAACAATGAGCTACGACTCATCTCTGTTTTCATCTCGAGCACCGTGTGTTTTAATGACAACATCTCCCACGGCGAGTCCGAGTTTTTATTAAATTCCGGGTCCTGATCTGAAAAGAGTTGCCAAATACTAAAAGCAGTTATCTATCATTTGTAACTTGTTACGAAAGAAGTTCCTCAGAAGAGGAGGAAACAATGTTTAAAAGCAGCTGTTTGTCATCTTGAACCAGAAGAACGAGCGTAAGACAAAACCTACAACCGCCTAAATTCAACTTCTTCTGTCCGTCCCTTTCGCTGATATTCTTTCATTTCACCTCGCATCCTTCCCCGTGATCCATATCCCCCTCACTCAATCACTCGCAACTCAATCACTCCCAAGTGTTTTTCTCGAGGCAGTACCTTGGTGAGGCTGCGGGCGGCGCTGTCCTTTCCCCCGGGGGTGAGGTTCCTGAGCTGGACGTCCAGCAGCTCCACCAGCTGGGCCATGGCGCGCACCGTGGACGGCACGTCGCCAGGGCGCAGGAGGCCTTTGGTCTGCTCCGCCAGCTCCCTGGCCACGATTGCCGCCGTCTCGCCCGACCGGAGCTGGGAGCAAAACGGAGACGGTGATGTGGAGGGAGGGGGGCAAATACAGTCAGAGAATGAGGGAGATGGATGGAGGTTTAAAAGATAAAAAAACAAACAAAAAGAAAGTTAGACGAGGTGACAAGTTAAAGGGAAAGTTGGGAGCAAAGTTAGCGAGAGCGTGAAGAGGAGGACAGAGAGGAGGACGAAAGAGTACAGTGAAAGACAGATGGGGGGGGGTAAGGGACAGATGGAGTGAGAGAAGTACATGTGGAGGAACGGGCAAGATGAGAACAAGGAGGAGGAGAGTGATTAGGTTATTTGCGGGGGCAGAGAGGAAGTCAGTGTTGTGTTTCCAGGACCTTTTTATAACTGTTATCATAAAAATATTTAAGAATGCTTTACAGAGACGACTCCCGCTTTAGAACCTCTGCTGCAAATGTCTATTTCACAGGGACTATTTCTTCTTGTTTGGTCTTGTAAAGAAAACCCTTAAAGCCTTGTGGCTCATGTGAAAACGGACACAACGCCATAAATTGAAAACTGTGGGGGAGTTATAACTTGGGCAGCACTTTTCTTCTTTTTTGTTTCAGAATAAAAGTATCTGAAAGAAGCAAACACAATAATGTTTACCCTCGCACAATGCAAGGCAATTCTCGTGATGCGTGTTACGCCGATAACACAGGCGAGAGTGAACGACCTTATTGGACGTTTCCACTCCCCGACGGCTGTGTAAAAAAAAAAACACGGAACACGGGTCAGGGTTAACAAATGAAGATGGATACGCGGCCGCGGTCCTCCCCCGCAGCCGGTGCGTCTCCATGCGTGAGAACTCGCTCCCGGGAATAGATCCGTAACACACACACACACCCACCCTCTTGCCCTTAAAGTCAGGGCTCGGCGTGGAATCTGTAAGGGGCCAGCGGCGGCGTTCAGACTTACTTTCTGCATGATGTGGTTGACCCAAGGCGACGTGCAGTTGCTGAGGTCGGGGCCTTGAGGATCCCAGTAGCCCAAGTGGGCCACGCACACGTATGTGGCCACGCCTTCAAGACAAGCAAAACAAATGAGACAGTGCTGACATTCACCAGAGAGACACCAGGATGCTTGAGGTGTCTGGGGTTCACTAAGCTGTGTGTGTGTGTGTGTGTGATGAAAGAAGGATTTAAGAATCATCTTTGTCACGTGGCCTAATTGATTAAAGTGGGAGTAGGATAATTTGTCCACTTATTGTCCATGTTGTAACGTATATATATACAGTAATACAGTTATATATATAACTGTATTACTTACAGAAAAAAAAGATGTCATCAGATTACCGATACATTTGTTGTATCCCCATTTCTGCTTTAAATCCAAACTAATGGCAAAGTTCCAGCATGCTTCTTTTCTCTTGTCTTTATTTGCGTATTTGGTATTGAGGATATCCAAAATTAAGGGAAAGTAATCAGATTACATTACTCGGAATAGGTTAGTGATTACATTTTGTGTAACGGGCAATTCGTTAATTGTATCGGATTTCATTTTTAAAGTGACCTTCCCATCCCTGTGTGTGTGTGTGTGTGTGTGTGTTTGTGTAGCACGTAAATCAATTGTCGTTCGTTTTAAATATTTAATTGACAAGTCAATTACTTCATGGCACACATTTAAAAACAGCAAATGTCGACCAAAGGGCTTGACAGAGGAAATCAAACAGCAGCAACTAGAATAAATTGAAAGTACTTACGTTATATGTAATGCACTTCATAGTGTTTTAATGTGTACAATAAATAAATTGACTTGACTACATTGAATTATTGGCGGTAATAGCGAGGTACTTTACATGATAAGGTTTCACATTCAAGCACACACACAATGTGATGCCCTGTTTGCATTGCTAGCAAACTTGGTTGGTTACGGTTGTTTTTCTACAACAAGGGTTTTGCAAAGGAGAACAAGCAGACTATTTCACGGGGTGAAGCTTTCACACACACACTCCAACCAACCATTCCCTAGTCCTACCACGTCCATCTTCTCTACATTCCACCCACCCGTGCAGTGTCCTTACCCAGCGTCCCTACGGGGCAGGGCTGCTTGGCCATATGGCCTTGCTGCGTCCGGGGCCACAATATGTCGGCCGTCACCCTCGGATTGCAGAAGTCTTGGGGAGGCAGGGCGGGGGGCTGCGGAGCCGCCGGAGGGGGCTGCACCGGAGGGGAGCGCCCCCCAGCTTTCTGGTTGGTGTCGGGAATCTGGTTGGTGTCAGACGACGAGCCGCCGGCGGGAGCCAGGGCGGGCTGGCGAACCGTGGTGGTGGTTCGAAAGCGCTGGCCGGGGGAGGTGGTGAGGATAGACCGCGGGGTGGTGTAGTAGGGAGGGGAGCGAGTGGTGGTGGTGCGGCCGGTAGACGAAGAGGATGAACCGCCACCGACAACTGGACCCCCCCCTCCTCCTCCTCCTCCTCCTCCTCCGCGATTAGGAGGCATTATGGGAGGTGGGCGATAGTCTGAAGGGAAAGAGAGACGGTTTAAGTTTACAAAAACACAGCGCCTTAGTTCTTCAACAAAGAGCCGGAGCCCGGAAATGTGTTGGGCAGATTTGTGGGTCCCAACATGACTGGAGTCCGGATGTTTTTCTGAGCTCCACATGCCAGAATGTGAGTTCAAAATGTATTCCCAGGAGTCAAAAGTAAGAACAACAGAGTTAAAAGAACCGTGATCAAGCAAACCATCTGTGTCAGTACCGAGGGATGTGAGCAATGGCGTTCAGCGTGAATGATATTATAGTGGCAGACATCATTTACACAGCACTCAATAGCTGTGACAGAGAGTAGCTCGTGTTTCTGATGAATTCCCAACGTTACCGTTTCATCCTACGTCAACGTTGTCATGTGCCAGATCCCATTTCTTTCTTTTTTCTTTTTTAGTTACTTCAAAGTTAAGGACGTGTTTCCAAACAACAGTGTGTGTGCTGAAGTGGTACTATAGAATGTAGAATTAGGCTTGGGCGAAAGGATGACATTATCGTTCAATCAATATTTGTTGGCCATGATAATGGTCCTCGCATGTTCACAAACAATATGCAATTATGCAACGCCTGTTGTGAATGTTCTGCTATATTCACACCTACTCTTGCTTTGCTGCATTGTTGTAGCGTTTCCAAAAAAAGTAACAACATGCGTCTGATTTTGTGTTACTGTGGTTATATAAATGTAATTTATGGTGCTGCTAGATCACACGGTTAATACAGGTGCTTGGGAAAGAGTGAACAGCTTTTGACCTCAGTGAAAATGTTGTTTTCTGAAAGGCTAAACGCCAACAAATGCGAATTGAAGCAAATATTTCTTAAAAACCTGGACTGAAGCAATTGTAGTGACGAGGACACAGCTCTGTGTCGCTCGCTGTGTGTGTGTGTTTGAGAGACACGGAGCGGGGGAGGGAAGGTGGATGCCAGTGGACGGTTGCAAGCAATGTTTCTGCAAGCTGTGGATGATAATAATTCGAATGTCAATGTTGTGAAGCTTGGAATTATTTGGTACAGCCCTAATGATTATACATGTAGCCCTAACTCCAGCAGGAAAGATGTCTGCTCTCGTTAGCAAAAAAACAAATACAAGTGCGCTTCTTTGGCGCTTCTTTGGGTTTAAACCACAACAATACAGGAGAGCCAGGCAACGTGAATCAAGTGGTTTGTAAGCTGGACAATAAACAAGTGAGGCTAAAGTTAGAAACGCCGCAAATCTACGCTCCCATTTTAAACTTCACAGCCGCACACAATACGCAAGTCTGCCATCGACTCCATCCACGAAGAGCTGCCGAACAAAAAACTCCCATCAACCCCGAATCATTGGGGCTTTTGCAAAAGCAACAAAAAATAAACATGACGGTGAACATTGGCAGGACCGTACGAGGGGCAATTACTACCAGTTTAGTCATCTTTTCTATCTATTGGTCTCAGCATGCTTTTGTGTAAAATAGTGCAAATATAAGTCCAAAGATACTTATAGCTATGTGCGTCTCCATCGCCAGCTTTGTTTCAAACGATAATTTCGTGTACTGTTGTTTTCCTTAAATCAACATCATCAGCCCGACCCCCAGTATAAATTCAGAATCTCCAAGTAAGACAATTGGTTTATCCTGCAAACGTGCATAAGGTCAGCAGCCTCTCCGATGGGACTGGGACACAGCAGTGTCTCTGGCTGCCTAACCTGGCAGAAAAAAAAACCTTCTCTCAGTGTCGTGCATGATTCATAACACTTTGATGGCACGCGAGGCAGGGAGGTCACTTAAATGCATATGACACACTCTTTTACTGTCAATATTTCATTGTAAAAAGGCTCAATTATTCACATTGACCCCGTTCAGGTGACAGAAATAAAGAGCGGGCGGATGAGAGAGGAGAGGGAATAGAGCATGTGTTTGTGAAGGGTTGGCGTCCTCTTGTGAACGTACTATAGCGGCTCTATCAACTGCATGCGGCACAATCAATATTGTGGGATCGAAAGTTGGACAGAGGGAAATGACTATTTATAGCATTCCCTCACTTTCTCTGTGAATTACGTTATCGGCCTCAAATCATTTGGAAGTCATTATGTGTAATAATGCAAACAGGTGGGGCCCATTTTCACTTTAACAAAAGCAGGGGACTGCTCCGTCTCTCACTGCCAAACACTTTTATTATACACCCGAGATTGCCTAAAAGTATTTTTGAATAAACACGTCAATTATACTCGAATGAATATCTTTAGGAACTTGTAATTACAGGAGACAAAAGTTACGTTTGAACCTGCAGAGGCTCCACATTATGTGAATTACGAACGTTAATTGTATCCATTTTATATAACTACAACCGAGTGATTATGCCAAATCAACACAGTGCACTAAATATACTTTGCCCGCGGGCCTGTACAGCTGATAACAGCAGTGTTTTGACTTCATCTCCCTTTTAAAATATCCATAATATGTGGATTGCCCGAAGTACGCATAAAGGCAGGAACACAAACAAACAGACACAAACACAGAGGCAATGATTGCATGCACTTTAACATGAGGAATATAGATTTCATAATCAGTATGCTTAGTTCTCGGCTGAAAATAAAAAAATGAAACCCAACAGTGCAATGCTCAGTCCAGTGCTGAACCCGGCCTAAAAACATTTAGCCCGCCAGCAGCTATGAATACGATGTTTTCCTTCTCTGAAGAGCAACACGGGGACATTGCGCTGCATTATTCCTGGGAGATGGGGTACTTCGGGCTCTCAGAAATTCCAGCTATGGCCGTGCTGCCAGTCTGGGTGGCAAAAAGTGTGAATCACATCGCTTCTAGCACCCCCCCCCCAGATGAGGAAATTCTTGATCCCACGATTTTCAGCGCAAATGGAAAGCACATGTGCTTCCTCAAGGGTCCCTGACGTTGAATGTTTGTAGAGTTTGTCGTCTCTCAGTGTGTCAGGAAAGGTTGCGTGATTGTGCAGTTTGTAACTTCCAGTGGGGGGTTTTGGTGTACTGTATATTGTTTAATTTGGGGTGTGATGTGAAGAAAATTACCTCCCTGCAGTGTTTTTTTGGTTTTTGTTGGAACAATGTTGTTTTTGATGCTTTAATCTTGTTCCTTGTTTTAGAGGTGAAGGGAAGTGTGCGGACGTGTGGGAGTTTTAGGAGAGAGTGGGTGGTTTGTATTGTTTACTGTGAACAGAAGTCATCCCTCGCTGTGGATTTTAAGTTTACTCAAAGACTCGGTACTTCTCTCTATCTCTCTCCCTGTGGCTGTCTGTCTGTCTGTCTGTCTGGTTGACTGACAGCCATGAAACGCCGCGTACTCTCTTGTTCTCTCCCTCCGCAACCCAATGGAGTGTTTCCGTACCTAAACGCCACGGCTCCCCGTTCCCGAATCACCGCCGCCCCTCCTGTCTTGTGCATTCTCCACGGAACATTGCCATCAATCATGCGTAGCAGCAGAGGCCTAGGGACTGGCTGTCAATCTCTGTGTGTGTGTGTGTGTGTGTACTTATGAAACGGCGAGCGAGTGTGTCTATCTGCAGCCAAACTGGAAGCTCCATTAAAGGCTCTGCCACACCAATAGATGAGTGTGTGTGAGGTTGATGTCTGCTGTCATTTAAGTACAGGTCAGAGAACACAGGCAGCTTTCTCTTGACATTTTCCATCCGACTCGATCAGCCGCTCGTAACTTTGTTTGCCCTCTCTGCCACATGTACCTATTTTATTGTCCATATTTCCCATCAGTCTCTTTTCAAGCGTGCTCGCCCGTGTCTTTAGCCCGTCCTCCTTTGCAAAATAGAAAAAGGAAAGATCTTGTAATGTTGTGATGAATTCATCACCGGCATCACTCAGGACGCCCGCGAAAGCTGCTGTAGGGAACTTCAGGAACATGACATAACGGCCTCATGAAACATTTACAGAGGGGGAAAAAAAGGCTAGAGGCTGTACTCGTGGGGACTGATGTATCCTCCGAGCTCAGGAAGCCTTGAGTAAATGCGCCACGACGTCTCCACGATGCCGGCTAAGTCTAAACGTTGGGCTCTTTCGCACGGGACTGATGCCGCAGGAACGAGCCTGTGACACAAAAAGTGAAAACACGGTTCCAAATTCAGTTCAGATTTTTGCTCCACGTGTGTGTGACGTGCACACGTGTGTAGGTGACACATTTTGACAGATGTGTTGTCATATCACATTGTACCGGTGGTTGTGTGATAAACGTGTCTCTTGGACGAACACATTCTACCGCAGGAATGTAAGAAATCTTTATATTCTTTCTGGGCTGGGTGATGATTCAATGTAATTTATTGTCTTTCAATGGAATAGAGATATCGTGATAAATAATGACCTTATCTTAATTAATAACAAGCACATACTAACTCAGATTTCTCTGATATTCTAATCATTTTGCAGTAAAATTCTAAATTAATTGAGAAAATACTCTTTTTTTTCAAAAATACGTATTTTTCATTTGTCAAGTATCAAACACTGGGAAATGTGCTTTAAAATCAATGAAATGATACTCATAAGTCTATATGTCACAATATTGGCCATGCAAAATAGATAGCGCTATATAGATTATATGCAAATCAAATGTAGGTGATGTGATGTTGACCGTAGAATCAGTGGAAAGACGCCGATGGGTGCGCTAACCGTCCGTTAAAAAACTTTGACATGAATTTCCTGTTTTAGAGGTTGAACTGTACGTGCATGTCAGACGCAGTCACGGAAGATGGTCGGGAGTTTGGTTTTATTTCAGCTCAGTGTGTCTCTGCTGGGTTTTGCCATCATTTAGGGTCTTTCCGCTTGTTTCTGTTTTCTCCTCTGGTCTCAAAGAGCTTACACACACACACACACACACACACACACACACACACACTCTTCTTTTGCGCGGAGTTGAGACGTTGCTCGCCGGTCCGCCAGCTTGTTGCTCTCGCTTCCGATATTAGTTGCCCTTTTTGAATAACAATTTGCTTGCAGTCATTAATGTCGACATTATTTTATGAAACAAT